TTTTTTTTTTTTTTTTTTTTTTTTTTTTAAAGATGACCGGTAAGGGGATCTCAACCCTTGACTTGGTGTTCTCAGCACCACGCTCAGCTAGTGAGCGAACCAGCCATCCATATATAGGATCTGAACCTGTGGCCTTGGTGTTATCAGCTGTCTTCAGACCACTTCAATTGATCCTGACTCCTGCCACCATGGATCAGTTCAGACTGTGTTTGAATGCTGTATAATCAGGTAGCATATAGTCTTTTGTGTCTAGCTTTTTTCAGAACATCAGCTTTCAAATTCTGCTTCAGTGTCCTGGTGCATGTTAGATTGAGAACAAGAAAACAGACAAGGTGAACCTGCTTGTCTATCTCAGTCCCTTTCCTGATTTCAGATGGTCCTTGAGCAGGGACATTGTTTAAATGTTTGACTTTCAAAGAGTATCCTGGTTGCAAGCAGAATTAGACCAGTTAGAGTATAAAATGTCAACACAGCTAGTGATTAAAGGATATTGACTACAGTGTATTTCAAAGCAAGGTAAGTCTTCCATAGATAATTCGATAGATTATACTTACTAAACATTTATTTTGTTGGAAACACTGAACCTAGGCAGTACGGAAATGAGATGAGTGAAATATACTCCCCTATCTAACCTGGGCAAACATCTTATCTGTTATATGAGTTATATTCATGAGGTTATTGATTCCACAAATCTGACTTATTTTAATGATTAATCCCAGATAACGTTATAGTTCAAAATAGATCACCCTAGAATAATGGTTCTCTGTGGCTCAAGTGCTATACCTGATGGAACAGTTCTCTCTGAATGGTGTTGTGATGGTTCTCCTTTGGGAAACCCAGTTTAAGCACATTCTGTGTAAGCTCTAAATGGAAATGTTTGTATTTCCCTTGTCAAGCAAATTGGACTGTGTATATTCCTTGTTTGTGATCTAATCCAGCAAGGCCAATTACTGGAGTAGAGCTTTAGGGCATAACATGACTAATGGGCTTAATTAGGCCTGCTCTTTTAAATACCAGCCTTCCAGGGGTGGCCAGTATGGGCTCCTGGGAGAGAAGGTCTTTAACAGATTTCTAAAGTACCCATGGATACATTTTGTATTTGTTTTTCTTATGTTTATTTTAAAACATAAATGTACAAACACTTCAGATAGCTTGCTTGATAAGACCCCAAAATGTAATGGTATAACTGATTCCCAGTGAATCTCTCCTTAATTTATAATCTGAAAGCCTACATTTTTTTCCCTCCTTTTATCTGTTTTAATAATATCTATTTGAGTTGCCATTACTATCCTTAGTGGCATCATTGGTTAAGTTCCGCACCATGTGTGGAATGTAAAAACAAGTTCCAGTGTAGAACTCAGTATACACGGTTAAGGGAGCTCATCGCGCATGTTCTCTGGCATCAGTGATGTTTGAGAAAACTTTAGCATATTAATCTTTTCATAAATAACAGTGTATATTGTGTCACTACTATTGTCCCATAGCGTTTGTGGTAGAAATCCATACCACTAGAATAACAGATAAAAATAAAATACATTCTAGCCCATGACTTGTTGTGTGTCTGTGTACAAGCTTCTTCACCTCTGAGTCTCAAATGCTTCAGCTGGAAAAGGACAGTGAAAATGATGCCTACCTCATAGGGTCTTTGTCAGACTAAACAAGGTTAAGTATATGGAAGCATTTAGCACAATACCTGGCATATAACAGGCATTTAGCAAAATTTAGCTATTGTTAATGTATAGCCCTCACTTTTATTTCCTTTCTTCAGGATGAAATTGATTCTGCAGTAAAGACGTTGCTATCATTAAAAATGAGCTACAAAGCTGCCATGGGGGAGGATTACAAGGCTAACTGCCCTCCAGAGAACCCAGCACCTGGGAGTAATAGTGACCCAAATGCTATAGAACCTGAAGTGGATTTTGTGGACCCATGGACAGTGCAGACTAGCAGCGCAAAAGGCATTGACTATGACAAGCTCATTGGTACGTCTTCTGCTTTCTTCCCCAGGAAAAACCTCAACTTTAAGAAGTTATTCCATTGAGTTATTCTATTGATGTTTTTAAATTTTGAATTAATAATAAATCCAGTGAAGCTTTAGTGCCAAGAAAAAAATAGATCATGAAATATTTTGGTTGTGCATTATATTCCCAAAGGATTATATTTAAATAAAAATGCCAATATAAAATTTATTTTAAAATAATGATCTTTAGTAGAAGCTTTTCCCTTTTTTTGAGCAATTCAGAACTTGGGAAAGGTCGGTCTGTTGAGATGGAGATCTTTGCAGTCATTTAAATTGCTTTTCATTTAGTGGTTACAAGTCAGTCAGTGACTTCAGGGATATTGATTATGGACCTAAAAGGCTGGAAGTCATCTTAAGAAGGGTGACTTCTCACAGATAGCAAGTCCTCACTGTCAAGCTCTTCCTTGAGAGTCTTCCTGCTCAGAAAAGACTGCTCCCATTCAATTAAAAAGTGCATTCTCTAAGATCATTGATAATCATCAAAGAAAAAACAGAACTAAAATGTTTTTATCTAAGTCAAAGCCATTTTCCATGATTTAAGTGTAGGCTATCAATGAGGAAAAATTCACTTGAGAACAGATATTAATGCAGTTCAACAATTAAAGAATATGAAAAATCATGGTGGTTAATGAATATAAATTATACCTTAAAGCCATTTTCCATGATTTAAGTGTAGGCTATCAATGAGGAAAAATTCACTTGAGAACAGACATTAATGCAGTTCAACAATTAAAGAATATGAAAAATCATGATGGTTAATGAATATAAATTATACCTTAATAAACACCTATACACACACATGCACACGCATACGCACACACATACATATACGAGAGGTCTTCAAAAAGTTCATGAAGAGGCTGGCTGGTTAGCTCAGTTGGTAGTATGATGCTGACAACACCAAGGTCAAGGGTTCAGATCCCCATATTGGCCAGCTATCAAAAAATTTAAAAATAAGGCCGGCCCGGTGGCCCACTGGATAGTGCGCCGCTTGGGAAGCGTGGCGGCGCTCCCGTCCGAGGGTTCGGATCCCACATGCGGACCGGTTCCCGCTCACTGGCTGAGCGGGGCGCGGGAGCAGCACCGAGGGTTGCGATCCCGTTGCCTGTCCCTGGTCCGGTACGGGGGCAACACTGAGGGTTGCGATCCGTTGCCGGACACGGAAAAAAGACAAAAGACAAAAAAATAAATAAATAAATTTAAAAAATAAAAATAAAGGGCCGGCCCGACAACAAAAAAAAAGGCAGCTTGTATTTTGGTAGGAATTGTACTGAATCTATAGATTAATTAGTTTGGAGAATGCATGGAACAGGATATCCCTGTCTCAGACCATAAATTCCATGCAGATAACATCAAGAAATGAGCAAGTTCCAAAAGGGGTTCTGCTGCTCCCACCCCACAGATTACCTGGGTTTGGAGAGGCTCATTTTCAAGGCCGTGTTCATGGAATTTATGATCTGAGGTTGTTCTGCTTGTTCTTCATGGTTACGGTAGAGCACACCCAGGATAGAACCCAGCAGTCTTCCTGAATACTTCAGTTCTACCTGCAGAGAACTCCAGGCCCTGCTTAGCCCACCTTCTGAGCAGAGTGTAATCAAAGTGTTTTCCTTAATTGAGATTTAATTCACATATCATAAAACTCACCTTATTAAAGTATATACAATTTAGCAGGTTTTTTAGTATATTCACAAGGTTGTGTAACCATCATGACTAGAACATTTTCCAGAACATTTCCAGAATAGAGCCTAATTCCAGAACATTTTCATCACCCTAAAAAGAAACCCCTACCCATTAGCAGTCATTCCCCGTTTCTCCCTCCCCCAGCTGCTGGCAACCACTAATCTGCTTTCTGTCTCTGGATTTGCCTATGCTGGGCATTTCACATACTTGGGATTATACAACATGTGGCCTTTTGCGTCTGGCATCTTTTACTTAGCATAATGCTTTCAAAGTTCCTCCATGTTGTAGCACGTATCATTACTTCATTTCTTTTTATGGCCAAATAACATTTCATAGAATGGATATACCCCACATTTTGTTTGTCCATTCATTAGTTGATGAACATTTGGCTTATCATCACTTTTTGATTACCAGTAATGCTGCCCTTAACGCTTGTGTACAAGTGTTTGGGTGGACATATGTTTTCAGTTTTCTTGGGTATAAGCTGGGAGTAGAATTGATGACTTATATGGTAATTCTGTTTAACTTTTTGAGGAACTGACAAAATGTTTTCCACAGCGACTGCACCATTTTACATTCCCATCAGTGATGTACAAGAGTTCTAATTTCTCCACATCCTCACCAACACTTGTTATTTTCCGAGGTATTGTTTTATAGCCATCCTAGTGGGTGTGAAGTGGTATCTCACGGTAGTTTAGATTTGTATTTCCCTAATGACCAGTAATGTTGAGCATCTTTTCATGTGTTTACTGGCTATTTTTATATCTTCTTTGGAGAAATGTCTGTTCAGAGCCTTTAATTCAACCCACTTTCATTCAACCCACTTTTTAATTGGGCTGTTTGTCTTTTTATTGTTGAGTTATAATGGTTTTTTATATATTCTAGATACTAGTTTCTTATCAATATATGACTTGCAAATATTTGTTCTCATTTTATAGGTTGTCTTTTCACTTTATTAGTAGTTTCCTTTGAAGTGCAAAAGTTTTTAATTTTGATGAAGTCCAGTTTGTTTTTTCTTTGATTGCTGTGCTTTTGGTGTCATCTCTAAGAAATCATTGCTTAAAAAATAAAAATTAAAAGAAAAGAAAAAAGAAATCATTGCCTAATCCAAGGTCATGAAGATTTACACTTATGTTTTCTTCTAAGTATGTTGCAGTTTTAGCTCTTACATTTAGATCTCTGATCTTGTTTTTTTGCCCCGATCCTTTTTGAGTTGATTTACTTCATTCTTTTGCATGTGGATATCCAGTTGGCACAGCACCATTTTTTAAAAAGACTTTCTTTCCCTGTTGAATTTTCTTGGCATCTTTGTTGAAAATCAATTGACCGTCTATTTAAGGGTTTAATTCTAGACTTTCAATTCTATGCCACTGATCTATGTGGCTGTCCTTATGCTAGTACTACATAGTCTTGATTACTGTAGCTTTCTTTACAGTAAGTTTTAAAGTTAGAAAATGTGAGTCCTCTGTCTTTGTTCTTTTTCAAGATTGTTTTGATATTCTGGGTCTCTTGCATTACCATATGAATTTTTGGATAAGCTTTTCCATTTCTGCAACAACAAAAAAAAAGGCAGCTTGTATTTTGGTAGGAATTGTACTGAATCTATAGATTAATTAGTTTGGAGAATATTACTATCTTAAAATAGTAAATCTTGGGCTGGCCCGGTGGCGCCCTGCTACAGTGCGCTGCTTGGGAATGCGGCGGTGCTCCCGCCGAGGGTTCGGATCCCACATACAGACCGGCCGCTCACTGGCTGAGTGAGGTGTGGGTGCAACACCGAGGGTTGCGATCCCGTTGCCGGTCCCAGTCCGGTACAGGCGCGACACTGAGGGTTGCGATCCGTTGCCGGTTGCGATCCGTTGCCGGTCACGAAAAAAGACAAAAAGGGGGGAAAAAAAATAGTAAATCTTCCAATCCATGAACATGGGGTGTCTTTCCACTTAGGTCTTAAATTTCTTTCAGTGATGTTTTGTAGTTTTCAGTGTGCAAGTCTTGCACTTTGGTTAGATTTATTCCTAAGGATTTTATCTTTTTGATGCTATTGTAAATGTATTTTCTTAATTTTATTTTCAGATTGTTCATTGCTGCTATAAAGAAATACAACTGATTTTTGTATGTTGATCTTGTATCCTGAAACTTTGCTGAATTTCATTTATTAGCACTAATAGTTTTTCTTTTTTTGTGGATTCTATAGGATTTTCTTATACAGAAGATTATGTCACCTGCAAATAAAGACAATTTTACTTCTTCCTTTCCAATTTGGATCTCTTTTTCTTGCCTAATTTCTCTGACTAAAACTTCTAGTACAATATCGAATAGCAGCGGTGAATGTGGGTATTCTTGTCTTATTCCTGATCTTAGAGGGAAAGCTTTTAGTCTTTCACCATTTAGTATAATGTTAGCTGTGGGTTTTCTATAAATGCCCTTCATCATGTTGAGGAAGTTTCCTTCTATTCCTAGTTTGTCTAGTGTTTTTATTATGAATTGATGTTGGCTTTTATTAAATGCTTTTTCTATTTTCTATTGAGATTATGTGGGTTTTGTCCTCTAGTCTATTAACATGGTATACCACGTTAATGGATTTTTGTATTTGAGTCAACCTTGCATTCCTGAAACAAATCTCATTTGATCATGATATATAACCCCTTTTATCTGTTGCTGGATTTGGCTTGTGAGTTGTTGAGGAGTTTTATGACTATATTCATAAGGGATATTGGTCTATAGTTTTCTTTTTATGTCTTGGTCTGGTTTTGGTATCAGGGTAATACTGGCCCCATAGAATGAGTTGGGAAGTATCCCCTCTTCAATTTTTTTGGAAGAGTGTGTTCTTTTTTGAGCACTTGACAGAATTCACCAGTGAAGCCATCTGGTCTTGGGCTTTTCTTTGTGGGAAGGTTTTTGATTACTAATTTAATCTTTTTGCTTATTATAGATTTATTCAGATGTCCTATTGCTTCATAGGTCACTATCAGTAGTTTGTCTCTCTCTAGGCATTTGTCTGTTTCATCAAGGTTATCTAATTTGTTGATATGCAATTGTTATAGTCCTTTTTATTCCTGTAGATTCAGTAGTAATGTTCCTTCTTACATTCCTAATTTTGGTAATTTGAGTCTTCTCTCTCTTTTTTTTTTTTTTCATAGTTACTTTAGCTCAAGGTTTACCAAATTTTGTTGATCTTAAATCAGAGTTTGTCTTAGGAGTTTACAGTTCTCACTGCCCTTGTGACTTATTTTATTTACTTTAGAATAATAATCCTGTAGGCTCTTGACTTAGGGAAGCATAGGACTTGAGGCTTTTGCCCACTCTCAAATGCCCCTCTGCCTCATCTGTAAAACTGGGGATTAAATGAGATCCACCATATACCGTCAGGCTGCAAATGCTGGGTAGTTGACTGTGTTCCCTCAACAGCTGAGTGATTCCCTGCTGGAAATCATCCTCCCAAAAGGTGAGCTCAGAATTGGAGCCTCAGTAAATTTCTGCACAGGGGGGGGGGGGGGGGGGGGGCTAGGACCTAGCACATAGTGAGTTCTCAGGTGCTTCCTATAAACACATGAAAAGCAGCACATATGACAGCTGCATTTTTGTTTCTCTTCTATAGATTCATAAAAGTTTAATCTGGTTAGTTGTAAGAACCAAAAGAAGGACTCTTTTCTTCCAAAGTTAAGGTTTTTTTCTTTCTTAATTTCAAAAGCAGTAATCAGCTGGCTGGTTAGCTCAGTTGATTAGAACGTGGTACTGGTAACACCAAGATCCCTGTGGCCAGCCACAAAAAAAAAAAAAAAAAAAAGTTCAAAAGCAGTATTCAAAACTAAGCACACATTAAAAAAAAAAAAAAAATAGGGCCGGCCCGTGGCTCACTCAGGAGAGTGTGGTGCTTATAACACCAAGGCCACGGGTTCGGATCCCATATAGGGATGGCCAGTTCGCTCACTGGCTGAGCATGGTGCTGACAACACCAAGCCAAGGGTTAAGATCCCCTTACCGGTCATCCTTTTAAAAAAAAAAACTAAGCACACAAATAAAAAAGATTAAAAAATAATTTAAAAAAAAAAACTAAGCACAAAAACCAGTGCACCCATGATCCTATCAGCATGGAGACGAGCACTGCGGACCCTTGGCTTGGGGTGTAAGCAGGAGTCACTTTTAGAATATTGTTTTGTGGACTCTCCTACCCAGACCTCTGGAAACGGTGGCTATTCCTCTTTTATTTTGGGATACTTTGTCCAGAAACACAGAACATTCACTCCGTAGCGTGTCAGTTTCACACCCTGCTGAACATTGGAATCCCTTGGAGAGCTTTTAATAACACCATGCTCTAACCAACTGAGCTAACCAGCCAGCCCAAGGAAGCTTTTTAAAAATACGAATTCCCAGACATCACCTCAGACCCACTGAATCAGAATCTCTGGATGGGACCCCAGCAGCTGTAATTTGGAAACAGGTAATTCTGCTGCATACCCAGCAAGGAAGACCCTCATGTGCACTATCTGTGCCCCAGTCCTCGAAGGAAGAACAACTAGAATGACCCACAGATGAATTCACCCAGTCCCAGCCTTGCTGAAGGGACCCAAATCAGACCTCCAGCTGGGCACTTCACCTCTGAACTCACCTCTGGCACTTCACCTCTGAAATCCCAGAGGGCATTCCTCCCATCTACATGAGGACTGTGTGGAACCCTGCGATTTTCCTGGTCCAGGTCTCCAGAGTCTCAGGGCTGGGTGATCCTAGAAAGGATAGTGTGTTGTTGGCCTGGCGACACCCCAGGAAGTATGTAAAGCATGCAGTGTATCAGCATTGATGTTTGGAAGAATTCCAAGAGTCCTAGTGGCCACCCAACCACATCTATCTTTTAAACACATTATTCCAAACCTGCACTTCTTATCCTTTTAAAACAACCACCTTTCATCTTCTCTGACCTCGAGTACATGGGGTAAGAGAAAACGCGTGGCTGCCTTTTGGTAAGAACGTGGCAGGCAGAAGTCATATGACTACAGCTAGACCTGAAACATCTGAAATGGCCTTATGGCCTGGTAAATGTTTTTCTTCCTTTATTAAATGTTATGATCTGGTTTATCGGTTTTATTTACCAATAATTTTGAAAGAGGAAAGCTGTGTGTATACATAGAAAGGATTAAGTAATGTTGTCATCATGAAGACGCAACTATTGCCTTCTTACTTATGTTTACCGAAACATAAGTTTGGTATAAGCAGGAAACATCATTTTCAATGTACATTTTTCCTCACAAAGAAAAGACTCATTGGTTATACAATTCCGTCACAACCTAATTTTTTTAATTGGCCATTTATAGTCCAAAATATTTCATTCTGAAAATCCTTGATTTTAGGATTGTGAGGTCTTGGACTTCATCCCAGATGATTACCAAGAAGTGTGTGTTAGAAAAATAAGACTTCATGGGCCGGCCCGGTGGTGCACTCGGTAGAGTGCGGCGCTTGGGAGTGCGGCGGCGCTCCCACCGAGGGTTTGGATCCCATATAGAGACCGGTCCGCTCACTGGCTGAGTGCGGTGCGGGCACAACGCCGAGGGTTGCGATCCCATTACCGGTCATGACAAAAAGAAAAAAGAAAGGGGCCGGCCCGGTGGCGCACTGCTACAGTGCGCCGCTTGGGAGCCCGGCAGCGCCCCCCCCGAGGGTGCGGATCCCACATACAGCCCGGCCGCTCACTGGCTGAGCGTGGTGCTGACAACACCAAGTCAAGGGTTAAGATCTCCTTACCGGTCATCTTTAAAAAAAAAAAAAAAAAAAAAA